AAGTTTATGACTGTTTGACATAGGGTAAAAAGTAGTAGTATCTGGTATATCCTACGGTTGTGACTTACACTCTTAACATCACTTTCGCCTACTCAATCCATTTTTACAGCCCCTAACTCCTAGAATCACGTCTGAAAAACAAAAAATCTTCATAACCGATGACTGCTGGTGTGCGTTTTGAACGTGATACCGAGGTCTCGGATGGAATGCAACCCGTGTCGGTAAACGTAAACTGTAAGAGGACTCACTTTCCATCGGGATATAGTTCGTCCACTTCCCAGCGCTCATGTTGTAGCATGCATAGCATACTGCAAGTCCCTTATAAACCGTGGTTCTACTAACTGTGAGTGCTGTTTCCAATCTAGGGTTAATCGGAAGAAAAGTGCATGTCCTTTCATTCCATTCGGTCTCTTTCTCCTCTTACGCCTCTTCATTTTATTTTTCTCACTCTCCGCTTTACTTTATTCCTCCTTCTCCTTTTCAGATCACACTGTTGCTCCGTCGTATCTCATTAGAATATTTACTGAATCTGGTTGCACAACCTGGTTTTCAAGCCCATTTGAGCACTCTCACGTGGGGGATACAAAGTCCTTACATTGTTTTGAACCGCATGGTTCACAGCATCAGAGCAGATCGCTCACATATTGTGGTGAGTGATTACGTTAGCGAATACGCACACAAGATCATCAAGTATGCCAAAAATTCACACGTCACATGTGCGCGTAGTCTAGACTCCTGAAGGACCTTTTCAAACCTGCACGCGAAAAACGAGTCGATGTTGGAGAGTCCCACTGCTTTTTGAGTGTCAGGTAAATTGATGAAACGTGCTTCTCTGCTAGGCCTTTTTCTCATTCAGCTGTCTGATTGGCCAGAATTGACTGGTCAACGACCTTGCGGTCACAAAACGCCGCTTTTGTTTTAGGGATGCTGGGGTACCTGTGTTTTTTATTTGCTGAAAGACTCACCGGTAAAACTCGATTTTGGAAGTACAATATATTGCGTAAATTCTGCGGACAGGTGCCCCGGCTTGTCATTAGACGCAAAATAAAATAGGAGTCCCAACTAACAACGTTCGTTCTGATGGCATAGGACAAATCAAAAATGGCGTCGCGCTTCTGCTAGTAGTTTGTCGCCGTGTCTCAGCCCCTTCGGATAAGCTCGCGTCTTTACTTGTGACTTTTCTACTCAAGTTTGAGCTCAATATGCTGTTTGGTGCATAACGTATCCGATTGCATTGCTTCGAGGAATGCTCGGTCTTTCTTGAACAGACAGACATTAATAATACGAGCTGTGCCCCACACGAGCTTTCCCATCAGGCAGAAATTCCCAGCAGAGGTTCCTATCCGCCACCTTGTTAGTTACAAGTTTAACGCTCTAATTAGAATGTTTTTGGCTTTTTGTCTTATAAGCTTTAATAGATAGGCGTTCACTGCGCTGTTACTAGACTCATTCGTCCATTTTGACCTTACAGGCTCACTCTTGAGCCGTACGGCAAGGCGGTTAATTATGTAGGTAGAAAATACCCTACTGACAAAGACAAGGGAGACTGAAATGGCCATGCTGATATACAAAGCATCAATCAGACCGGTGTTAGTATATGCCTGCGAAACATGGCCAGTGAGAAAGGAGACATCCTATCGCTCGAAGTCTTTGACCGTTGGTGTCTTCGACGCCTCTTAAGAGTCTTCTGGGAGGATCAAATCTCCAGTGTTGAGCTATATT